GTATTATCAGTAATACAAAGGAAGTAGAAAATAGTCCCATGACAGTCACTTGATACAATGAAAGGGTAGTTGTATTATCAGTAATACAAAGGAAGTAGAAAATAGTCCCATGACAGTCACTTGATACAATGAAAGGGTAGTTGTATATTATTAGTAATACACAGGAAGTAGAAAATAGTTGAATGTTACTTTCCCATAAGTTAGGTAGTGTATAACACCATTTCTTTATGTGTGTTTGTATAATATACACAAACGTGGCAAGATAGGCATTATTCCACTTATTTAATTATATAGAATATACAACTACCCTTTCATTGTATCAAGTGATTGTCATTTGACTATTTTCTACTTCCTTTGTATTACTGATAATATACAACTACCCTTTCATTGTATCAAGTGATTGTCATTTGTCTCATTTGTCAATATTTGCATATTATACAGACACACATAAAGAAATGGTGTTATACACTACATAACTGATGGGAAAATAACATTCTCTCATTTGTCAATATTTGTATATTATACAGACACACATAAAGAAATGGTGGGAAAGCAACATTTGTCAAAATTATATAAACAAACAAACGTGAGTTGTCCGTCTGTCCCGGTGTTACACTTGCTGTGAGGAGCTGAATCAATTTCAATGTGAAGTCCACTAGAGTTTTAAATCAATAATTAATCGGACAAACTGTTCGAGTTTGGTAGTCATTTCAATCCTTACTTCGTGAAGTCCACGCCAAACGGAAGCGACGTTTAAAGTCGCGCGTAGCACGGGGACTTTGGTGAATCTTTCACATTGAGTAGACATGCTAGACGAGTGACGCCCATGTACGTCGTCCCACCATTCCGTGAAGCCAAGGAGATGAATGTTGCCCGAGTACATTTGATAGTTTTATAGAAGTAGAAGTCAAGGTTATTTGAAACGAATGCAGACTGACTGTTGTTTTTCTTTGGTTTTGAACAGGTACGCTGTTAGCCGGCTGTACAATCGTTTGTGGCTGCAGAACAGAATATAGCAGTCGAGTGAAAGCCATATTTTTAAACATCCTGGCAGCTATTCTACAGTTAATTTTGGCTCCGATTGTAATTGGATGGGTTTGGAGCATAATGTGGGGAATTACGTTCGTGAATATCAGCGGTAAGTTTGACCGAGTATTATGTCTGTGACGTAACAGATGTGGAAAAAATATAATATATATAACTATATGATAACTATATCTGTGAACATAGATAGATTTTGATGAGGATTATACCCGTGAACATAACAGATAAGTTTAATTGAAGCCATATCCAAAAATTACATCTGTGAACATTAGAGAGAAAATTTTAGTGAGAAGGTTTTACATTTTCTCACGAGTTATTATTGGATTTACGACCGAAAATATTAACAGCGAGTTCAAACCGATATATTCTAATCCTTACAAGGAAGAACGTGTATTTATTATGTATAATGAATAGGATGGTTTATTTCTAATTTCGTTCTAAGTAGGTAGCTTGCTGATTGGAAGTTAATATTAATAAAAAAAAGTATGTTTTAGTCATAAAAAAGAAAACTACATATCTATATTTGACGTCTTGAGTGAAAGATACCGAAATTAACGACTATTACAACTTAAGGAAACTTATCTATCCATACTGTACATTTAGGGTTAAAATATTAATTAATCTTATAATTCAGCTTGAGCTTTCGTTTGTTTGTTGTTTTGTTTTTTTATTTAGATTGAATCCGTTTTCTAAATTATTCATTTCATGTTTTTTGTTTTTTTTTTACAGTGACGAAGGAGCTTCAGGAGCCAATAGTGGCAGCCCCAGTCTAAGTATTCTAACAACGTCCGAAACACCACATCAAGTAAAATAAATTTAAATAACTACCAGCACGACACCTGGTGTATAGAATATAATATATCATTTTATGCGTTTCTCTTCTTCCTTTCCTTTTCTTCGGGATATTTATATAAAGTTACAAGTCCCTTTATTTGTTTAGCTATTTAATTACAATGTATTAAATGCAACAGACGTTAAGTATACATGTATCGCCATGTTGCTTTTTTGCATATATACTTACAGCTTCCACCTCGAGCTGTTGAAATATATATATATATATATATATATATACGTTTGTTTGACTCTGACGTCATTTCATCAAGGCAACAAAGGAGGATCTAACAATATATAGGAATTGACTCAAATATCGTCATGGCAAATAAATCAAAGGTATTCGAGCATTTTCTTTGAGGTTTTGTTTACATGTTAACTGCGCGCATGTATACTGGTAAGCCGCGAGCATGTATACTGCGTTTTAAAATTTTTAAATTGGGGAGAAGGTGCCTTGTAGTTAATCATTTACTGCATTAATAAAATCATTGTTTATTACAATCTGGCTGGAATTAATTTCTTTACAACTGGGCAACATTTTAGATTACAAAGTAATTATTCAACGCATTTGTTGTTGTTTTTGTTAAATTTGCGTGTATTACCCTTATTTTGTTCAATGATCAATCACAAATAGGGTGAGATTTATAATAATTTCTATGGATAAATAATATCTATTACAGAATCTTGGAAAAAAAAGTGACCTAGTTGATTACCAGTATCAAATTTAGAAATTCGAGTGTCATCGTTATTAAATCTAGAACTACGTAAAGTTGTAGGTACCAAATTTAGAACTATTTAATGTTATCAATCCTAAAGGTAAAATTATTCAAAGTTATCAGTATCAAATTTACAATTATTTAATGTTATCAGTACAATACTCTGAATTGGAATTATATTGATTTTATTATACAAAACTTGAAATTATTAATTATATCAATGCGACATTTAGAACTAAATTTACTATTACCAGTAACAAATTTAAAACTATCAACCTTTTCAGTACCATATTAATGATATTGGTTTGTATTATAGCAAAGCCATCTGCTGTGTCCATCGCCAGGAATCGAATCCCGGATTTTAGCATTGCAAATCCATAAACTTACCGCAGTCTCACCGAGACACAATGCTATTGGTACCAAAATTCTAACTACATTAAATCTTATCAGTACCAGATTTTGAATTATATTACTCTTGTTTGGCGTGGGTTGATAAAGAAATATAAAAGAAGTTCAACGAAAGAAAAGATTAAAACCTGGAGATGTGAGAGAGAACGAATAAACCGAGAGAGGCGAAGGAAGAAAGTAATATTTTGCCAGTAAGAAACATAACGTAGTTCTAAATCAATGCGTTATAGATTACTCTTATTAAAAGCAAAAAAAAAATTAACCCCACTGACTTTTTTTACTACTCTAATGTTCTCCCAACGAGTGTCAAGCTGCATTTAGAAAATTTTTTTCCCAGTTTCATTATATTGTACATGACTTTTTCGTATATACTTTGATATACTTTACACATTTGTCAAACACAAATATCAACTTCCAATAGACATAACAATCCATAGGGTTTTCTGGTTGCCAATGTACATTGATCATTAATTTCCTATTCACAATTACAGGCAGGACAGTTTCAGAAAGCGAAACACTTAATTTATTCTTAGAACAAAAATAATTAAATGTTATGTTTTTCAGACTGCTCATAAACTTTGCAAAGGGAACAATTACATTTTCTTTTTATCCAGTGCCCATCTTAGCAATGACATGGTCGTCTATCTAATTATCTATCTATGTGACCGTAATAACCAACACAATTGTGCCACCTTTTATGCTGAAATACAAGAAGATCTCAATGTCAGAAGTGGTGATTGTTGCTTATGAAATGTATCGCCATCTATTGAATGGCACAATAACTATGATATGTGCAACAACCATTTCTTTATAATAGAACACTATTTTAAATAAAAGTACTCTCCTCACAACAAGAACACGACTTTCACTAGGACTGTATGAGAAGGTTTGAATATATCATTATTGGTGTAATTATTTTTTAATGTATTACTGAGAAACTGGAGTTCATAAAAATATAATATATATTAATCAGTACCACTTTTAATACACAACAATATTAAAGTTTATATCAGTAAAAGTTTTGAAAATTGAGTTATGTACATTGAATCATTTTGATGCAATGAGTTGTGTATGACTATAGAGCACAATCCGAACACTTCCCGTGCAGTACTTCCCAGAAAATACAATTACTAGCACAAATAGTCGCCGGTAGGGAGGAGTTTCTGTTAGTTCACTTAATTACACTTAAAAGGCTTCAGTTTGAAAGGCCAATAACATTTGTCAATTAAGAAAAAAGTTTCACACAGTAGTGAACCTATTCACTAACATAGAGTTTTACTTAATTAAGTCAAAAGAAAAATACATGTTTAGCAACAAACCAGTTCGCAATTTACATGACCACCCCTTTCTAGTCTCAATGCAACCACCCATAACTCGTATCTACAACACTTGAATATCCTTTTCATTTTCGTCATTTCGATCGCTTTATTTCTGTTTTGTTTTTTTAATAATGTTAATGGGTGTTTTTTGTGTACATCATAAATACGTGAAAGTGAGAATCACTTCAAAAAATTAGGTGTTAGTTTTGTTTCTGTGATATTTTAAAGAAAATGAATCAGTTAAGTATATTTGGTTGTTTTTTTTTGGTTTTTTTTTGTTAAGCACAAAGTTACACATTGGGCTAGCCATGTTTTGTCCATCGCGGGTATCGAAACCAGATTTTTAGTGTTATAAGTCCACATACCTTCCTTACTTCTAGTCTATCGCTTCAAAATTACAGAATGCTAGTACAGATAGCCCTCCGTAGCTTTGCTCGAAATTCAATAAAAAATAAAATTTGTTTTGTTACCTCCTAGTGTCACTACTAACTTTTCACCGTATAGGCCTATCCAAGTGCGACATGGCAACATTTATAATTTCTTTATATTTGTGCGCATTGCTATTAATATAATTTTGGATGAAAATGAAATTATATAGGATTTATAAAATATTTTTCTTATAATGAACGAATTTATTTAAATGTAAATCGGAAATTAATAATGAAAACTTCACTAGTTCACTCTAAAAGTTGTCTTAACAATAACCTTCGTGATTTTTTTGGATAATTAATTTCTCCCCCTATAATAGTAATACAAAAAAAATTGTCTTACGTGTGTGTGTGTGTGTGTGTGTGTGTGTGTGTGTGTGTGTGTGTGTGTGTTTTTTAGCACATCACTGTCAAATAAACTTTTATTGAAATCAATAAACTTAATATACAAATTATCAGCATAGATGAATGTTTTTTTATATTTTGTTTGTTTAGCATAAAGTTGCACAATGAGCTATCTGTGCTCTGCCCACCACGGGTATCGAAACTAGATTATAGCGTTGTAAGTCCGTTTGTTTGTAATTAAGCACATAGCTACACAATGGGCTATCTGTGCTCTGCCCACAACGGGTATCGAAACCCGGATTCTAGCGTTGTAAGTCCGCAGACGTAACGCTGTGCCATTGGTGGGGCTGAATTTTGTTGAATTAATTCACATAAACAAAGAGGTGTAAGTGATTAATAGAAGGCCAGAGATACAGCTTGAGTGGATTGTTTATTTTAACTTTGTTTCAACGTTTCGACCACTCGTGTGACCATCTATTGTTGTCTATTGTGCGAAATATTGCACGGCCATTTTGTGCCAATATAAAAGATGACACCCGTGTTCCGAGTTAAAAAACGTTTTAGTTCAAGATTTTTTTTCTCTTCTTCTTACAAACTTAGAATACTAAGCAATATGAACAACCTTAATAAAAGATTGGATTAGATTCCACGGCCCCTATATTGAGAGTCACGTGCCCCTAATCATCAGGCCATGTCAAACTGATAATAAATAGAGATATTAAATATTACTTAAGTATACATGCAAAGTAAATTAAACAAAAAATAATAATTCAGTTTCAACAGTTTATTTAAATGTAGCTTTCCTAATGTGATAAGATAAAGAATAATAATAATAATGAACATTTCCATGTAGCTCCCATGGACCCAATGAACCTCCTTACCAATTTTGGTGAAGAACCAATCACACCCTGCGTAGTAGTATACAGACAGTACTTTTATAGTTACGTCGTTTCTTGTAGCTCTGTCGCGCGTCGCTTTCTTTTCTCGTGTATTGTTTCACTTCAAAACGTTCCTGTAGATGTCACTAGCCGTGTTTCTAGCTTGAAAAAAACAGCGTTTGCTCGAAACTTCGACAATAAAATAAAATACAAATGTAGTTTTAATTTAAGGTGATTTATCTCAAAAATCTAATTTAAACTATAAATTGTTGTATTTTGTTTTCGACCATAGAAGTGATAACCTAAAGACAACAGGTACTCGTCCCCTTTGTCAGTCACTAGCTGGTAATTAGAAATAACCTCATTATGAAGAAATATAAAAAATATATTCTAGAAAAGTGTTTTGTTTTCTCTGGAAGTACCGCACGAGAAAAAAAAGTGTTCGGATTGTGGTCTTTAGTCATACACAATTCAATACGTCAAAATGTGTTCAGATCCCAAAGTTTTTCATAATTTTTACTTATACAAACTAATGTTTTTACATATATTAAAAGTGCTACCCTTTATTGAAAAAGTTTAAGAACTCTAGTTTTTTTAGTGCTACATTTAAAAATTACATCAATAAAGACATAATAAAACCCTCACGAACAATCCCAGTGAAAATCTTGTTTGACTGCATGGATGTAACTAAATACGAGGCTACGAGTTTAAGAGATTTACAAAAGAAACTAATATTTGCTGGAAATCTAAAGAGCCCGTACATGTGTTTTTAAAGATTGAGGATTTATTTAAGTTCACAAGTACCACAATGTGGCTTTACTTTTAAAAACAGACAAACATAGTTACCAAACCTACACTTTTTTCTTTCCTTTTTTTTTTTTTTTTTTTTTTTTTTTTTTTATTTTTTTTTTT